AAGGGCTTTTCAGTTAAAACACTTCAGTGCTCACTCAGGAATTCTACATAACACACTTGAAGACCTGGTTGCTTAAAGCTGACATTGCATATCCACCACAGAAGGAAAACTTCCCTATACTCATAAGCCATCTCAGGGCAAGCCATTTCCTTTTTTTTTTTTGAGGCAGAGTCCTGCTCTGTTGCCCAGGATGGAGTGCAGGGCACAATCTCGGCTCACTGCAACCTTCACCTCCAGGTTCAAGTGATTCCCCTGCCTCAGCCTCTCAAGCAGCTGGGACTACAGGTGCCTGCCACCATGCCCAGCTAATTTTTGTATTTTTAGTAAAGACAGGTTTTCACTGTATTTGTCAGGTTGGTCTCAAGCTCCTGACCTCTAATGATCTGCTCACCTCGGCCTCCCAAAGTGCTGGGATTACAGGTCTGAGCCACCGTGCCTGGCCAGGCAAGCCGTTTCCTAAAAAACTGAGGCTGGGGATATAGCCCTTGAAGAGTCTCTCTAAAAACTGTAAGAAAAGGGTGTGAGAAGATATTTTTTAATATAGAAGAATGTATCTTGTGCTATGTTTTTGGTATCATTAAGAAGTCAAAAGCCTCCTAAGAGATTTCCCGTACATTTCCTGACCAGTTCCAAGCTTCTGCTAAGTAGGCAGCAGATCAGGTGAGCTCACCCCTCCAGGCTCAGTTGACTGTCCCTGGTGAGGACACATGGCAGGGATAGCCCATCTGCAGGCCAGGGGCCTGTGATGCAGTCTTGCTCAATGGCTAAGCCAGTCAAACCCTTCTCTCAGGGATTTAGCAAAGACACCCAGAGGGAAGTTAGTTCCAATGGCTGGACCCGGAACATCACACAGATTTGGGTGCTGAACAGCCATGTTGGGCCATGTGTAGACAAATAACCAGAAATATTGAACTGGGAAGAAAGACAATAAAAGAGGCGATGCACAGAGAGCATCTTTGCTGTAAGTAGAAGAGCTGGAAATGTGAAGGAGCGTAGCACAGAGCTCCCTCTATTTCTGCTTTTCCTGAGGCTGGCTTTCTTAGGTTTTCCAGGGCTCCCAGTCATACATGTCCTTCCAATAAACCTTACCCTTTCTGGAACAATTTGAGTGAGTCCCTGTTTCTGATCAAAGCCACAGCAGAATCTCTATGCAGGGCAGTCTTTCTGGACGCTAAGCGTGGTGCCATCAGAGCTCTCTCTAAGGGCAGATTGGTTAGTGACCCCTTCTCAGTATTGGCTTGGACATCAGCCCAGGGGATGCAGCCCTCTTACTAGACACGTCTGATATTTCATGGCCAGGGCCTGGATTCTGCTGCGGGAAGTTCCAACTTCCAGGGACTGGATCCAATACCGAGAGGCTGGTAAGGGGACTACTTAGGAAAGAATCAGCTCCAGCCATTTGTCTACACTCAGGTTACTCTACTTAAAATAGGTCCTGGCAAAAGGAACCTGACTCGGCCAAACTGGGTCTCATGATCCACTCCCGGGGGGGAGGTCAGGCAGCACAACTTGATTGGTTTTCTCAGCAAGAAAGACTGCCCTCAATGGAAAACGTAATTTCCCCAAAGGAAATCAAACCATTGCTTTCAGAATAAAGGGGAATGGACTCTAGCAAGTAAAACAACAAATGCTCACCACAGGGGTGGAACTGAGATTCAAACTTTCTGTGTGTGTGTGTGTGTGTGTGTGTGTGTGTGTGTGTGTGTGAGAGAGAGAGAGAGAGAGAGAGAGAGAGAGAGAGAGAGAGAGAGAGACTCGCTCTGTTGCCCAGGCTGGAGCACAATGGCACGATCTTGGCTTACTGCAACCTCCACCTCCGGAATTCAAGCACTTCTCCTGCCTCAGCCTCCTGAGTAGATGGGACTATAGGTGACCACCAAAATGCCTGGCTAATTTTTTTGTATTTTTAGTAGAGACAGGGTTTTTCCGTGTTGGTCAGGCTTGTCTTAAACTCCCAACCTCAGGTGATCTGCCCGCCTCAGCCCCCTGAAGTGCTGGGATTACAGGTGTGGGCCACCGTGCCCAGCCTCAAACAGTCTCTGTAGGACTTGCCAATCAAATTAGTAACAAACATGTCTTTATCCAGAAACAAAATCTGTCTCCCTCCAATGTTGCCTTATTGGTCCTGGTTTTCCGGCTTGGAGTCCCACGTCACCAGCCTATTCTTCCTGCCCTCTGACTGTCCTTCAGTTACATGAAGGCAGTTAGCATACTCTTTCTCCTTAATCTCCCAACCCTGGTCTCAAGTGCTAGCTTCAAACATTCCTGGTCCCTTAAACTCTTTCTCATGAGACACGGTTTGAGTTAGCTTCTTCACTCTGGTTGTTCTCTTTAAAACCAGCTTCAGATTTTTAATTTTCCCACTTAAAATGCAGTGACCAGAGGAACCCAGGAGCAAAACTTCAGGTATGTTTTGTCCTAAGCAGAGTAGAGCAGAGCATCTCAGAATCTTAAGACCTTAAAGACCAAATGGTCATTTGTTTCCATGCCCTGCCTGAGTGCTGATGGCTCTAGTTCTGTATCTTAGCATTGCCATTTGTTAGCTGTGTGACCTCAGGTAAGTTATCTAACCTCTGCAAGGGCGTTTCTTTACCTGTTACCTGTAATCATAGTACGTATTTATGGTCACTGTGCTAGTTAACTGAGACAATGTCATGCAGAGTGTGGGCACAGTGTGTAGCCCACAGCAGGCCCTCAATATGCTTATTACTATTACCAGTTATTATTATTCCCCCCCTTTTTTTTGAGACAGAGTCTTGCTCTGTTGCCCAGGCTAGAGTACAGCGGTGCAATCTCAGCTCACTGCAACCTCCACTTCCCAGGTTCAAGCAATTTTCCTGTGTCAGCCTCCCAGGTAGCTGGAATTATAGGCACACATCACAACATCAGGCTAATTTTTGTATTTTTAGTAGAGATGGGGTTTCACCATGTTGATCAGGTCTTGAACTCCTGACTTCGTGATCCACCTGCTTCGGCCTCGGCCTCCAAAGTGCTGGGATGACAGGCCTGAGCCTCAGTGCCCAGCCTATTATTCCTTTATAAAATTCACCCCAAGTAAATGGCTATCCAGCCTGTCCGTAACCACTGAAAGAAGATCAGCCAGAGGAGGCATGTCTGTCCTTTAGAGTTTGCACGAAGGCACACAAGGGATGAAGAAGTCAAAGAACACACTGTTTGGGATTTATCTACACTCTGAGAAGGAAATATTATCTGGGAAATTACAGCGGGACTTTGCGGGAAGATGTGGAATGCCGCAGGGAAAGGAAAAGGGTACGTTCCTCTGGGAGATAATGTGCAAGCTAATTTTGCTTTGGTTTTGTTCAGGATTTGCAGTAAGCAGTCATTATGTCAGAATCCATGAAGATCGAGTTCAATTATCAACGGGTGAAAATCACCAAGCAAATATTTGTCATTGATAAGAGACTTCATAATCAGAGTGGCTTCTCACACCCACAGTAAGCTCTGCTCGTGGGACTTTCGAACTTGAATTCACTGCTCCAACTCTGTGTAGACAAATGAAACAAAGCAGGCCTGGAGTAAATGTAACATATGCCTCAGGAAATACCCATATTCCCTGCCTCACTGCAACACTGCTACTGAAGGTGTCTCAGCATGAGTGAGGAGTGGCAGAGGTGAAGATCATTGTCTCTATATGGTAATCAGAGAAATAAAAGACAAAGACATGATTTAAAGTGCGTGCACCACTGAGAGGTTGTCAAATGGGTAGTTAAAAGAACAGATCTCACCGGGCGCGGCGGCTCACGCCTGTAATCCCAGCACTTTGGGAGGCCAAGGCCGGTGGATCACGAGGTCAAGAGATCGACCATCCTGGTCAACAAGGTGAAACTCCGTCTCTACTAAAAATACAAAAATTAGCTGGGCATGGTGGTGGGTGCCTGTAATCCCAGCCACTCAGGAGGCTGAGGCAGGAGAATTGCTTAAACCCAAGAGGCGGAGGTTGCAGTGAGCTGAGATCGCGCCATCACACTCCAGCCCGGGGAACAAGAGTGAAACTCCGTCTCAAAAAAAACAAAGAACAGATCTTGGAATCAAAGACAGTAATTAGACTTCATAAAATCTAATCTGTCTGTGAAGGACCAACTATATCTCGTCCATCATGGTGTCGTAAACCCCTGGCATTTTGCCTGAATCAGAGCAGGAGTTCCATAACTGTGGATGATGGAGTGAACTGCCTGGGTTCATATCCTAGCTCAGCCATTTATAACAGTAGGACTGGAGGCAAGTCCTGGAACTTCTCTGTGCCTCAGTTTCCTGGTTTGTAAAATGGGGTCATGAGAACATCTGCCTCAGAATTGTTGTGAGATTAAAAGAGAAAGTGCAAACAGTTCAGCATGGCACATAGTAAGAAGTCTGTAACCTCAAGTTGTTCTTGTTCTGACCTTTCATTATTATTATTATTATTATCACTGATTTTTTTTTTTTTTTTTTGAGAAAGACAGGGTCTTGCACTGTTGTCCAGACCAGAGTGCAGCGGCGTGCACTCTGCAGCCTCAACCTTCTGGGCTCAAGCCATCCTCCCGCCTCAGCATCCCAAGTAACTGAGACTAAAAGCACTTGCCAGTGTGCCCAGCTCAATTATTACTGATTTTTAAATAAATTCTGATAAGTAGCCTGTAGAATAATAACCTTGATATTACACAAATCAAGAGTTAAGTTGCCACAGCAGCGCCTGTTTTACCACTAGCAGTAATCAACAATGAGACTGCTAAGTTTTTTGTTTCCTTGTTGGCTTTTTGAAAGTCAAATATTAAGATCCTCTTGTTCTTTGCTGTAATTAACTCTTTGGACTGGAGAGGTGCTTTCGGTGGAATTCCCAGCTGCTAATTCTCCCTTGCCTCTCCCACCTCACTGCCAGGACTTCAGTGCTGTGCACCCCGAACTGCATCTTAGGGCTTCAGAGCTTTGAGAGCACACAGAAGAGTGGAAAGTACCTACCATTTATTTGGAGCTGACAATTTCTGCTATGAAAAGAAACAATGTGAAAGAAAAGGGAATTTTATTTTTTAGAAAACAAACTTGGTAAACTAAAAAAGAAAAGATTAATCACTTGGAAAATTTCGGAGTTTTGACAATGTTTTAGCAAAGTTTCCTATTACATTATAATTTTCAAGTCTCAGTCTCTCTGAGTTTGACTTTTGTCTTCTCACCAACCATGAATATGATATAAGATAATTCAGCTGATACCAGCAAAAAGCCCTTTGAATTCAAAAGGAAGCCATGTTAACGGAGGTGGGTCTGTGTCTATGTGTATATATATGTACACACACACACACACACACACACATTATATATACATATATAATATTATCCTAATCTATTATTTTATACACTAAAAAAACTGCTTATTTACAATCATTTTTTAAAAATATGTTTTACCAAATTAGTACTTTTAACTTTCAAAATGTACACAACATCTACAATTTATTGAGGAACCCCCCCCCCAAGTATTTTGCCTTTTTCAGTGTCTTCTGCAACAACGCTGAGAGAAATAGCCAATATTTCTGGACAGTCTTAAGCAAGGCAGCACCCTTCGAGAAGCCTGTATTCTGCTCTTAACAACATTATGGCCTCTTTAAAAAGGAAAAGAAGAAAATAGTCCGAGGAGGAGAGGGACGACTTTTCAGTTCTATTATCTTTGGCATTTTGTACTAGTCTGGGGTTTCTCAAGTCTTGAGACAAAAAGCACACATTCATTTTAGACATTTAAAAAAAACCATTCTGAATGCCTTTGCAGTTTCTTCCTTGAGCTGTCTTCAGGGAACTATTTATTTTGCTTCTTTACCTTGCAAATAGCTAACGGCTTCCAGCAGGGCTCAACCCAACCTTTTTGTGCCCTGAAGTCATCGGTGCGTCTTTAAAAGAAAACCGATTCTTTGGAATGCTGTGCGTGCACATGCCTGTCGGACTCAGCAGGCCCCACCTGCAGAGCAGGTAAACCAGATCCTCCTGCCGGCCTCTGCAGCCACATTCCAGCCGGGCAAGCTCCTACTCTCTAATTGTTACCTGTCAAACAGGTCACCCCGGCACTTGGGTCTGGTCCAAACATGCGCAGGTTCCCACGAAACCCTAAACCTGCAAACCTTTGACCTTTCCATAGTTCCGAGTTCCCTTGATTATTTCAGCCGGGGCTGATTTAAATCGGAAAAATGACTTTTTAACGGCTTCTTTTTCCTCTCTCATCCTGGATGGTAAGGCTGATCTTGCGCTATGTGGGGTTTCTGGATGAGCGCCCTGTGGCAATTCAAGATGGCGTGAAGGCAGCGGTTAGGGGAGCAAGCGCCCCTAAAACGAAATCCACTCACGGAAGCTGTGAGCTGCCCACCGGATCACATAGAGAACAAATCCCCTAAGGTGGATGGGAACAGAGGTGACTCACGGTGAAAACTCTCTTCCTTCCCTTTCTGGGTCTGGGCTGGGCATGGAAACTGTGCTGTGAGCTCAGCCCAAAACTTGCAGTAAGTAAGCCTGTGGGAAATTCACATGGGCTGTCTGGGCCTTGGTTTCCCCTCTTGAGGAGAGAGAAGGAGCTGCCCCACCCCCGTGTAAAGGCTTCTCCCAGCACAGTTCAATGTTCTTTTTCTTCTTTTGAGGCAGAGTCTCTGTCGCCCAGGCTGGAGTGCAGTGGCACAATCTCAGCTCAGTGCAACCTCTGTCTCCCGGTTTCAAGCGATTCTCCTGTCTCAGCCTGCCAAGTAGCTGGGCTTACAGGCGTGAGCCACCATGCCCGGCTAATTTTTGTATTTTTGGTAGAGACGGGGTTTCACCATGATGGCCAAACCGGTCTGGAACTCTTGATCTCAAATGATCCAACCGCCTTGGCCTCCCAAAGTGCTGGGATTACAGGCATGAACCACTGCGCCCAACCCAATGTTCTTTTCTCCTATTTGTGCCACCCAAAGTAGGGAGATCATGTCCCAGAAATGCTCCTACCATGTCACTGGTTTTATCGGGGATCTTCAATCAGCTGAGGGCATATGTCAAGGGACTTCCCTCAAGTGTGCTTCTTCCTGGGGACACGTTTGTAGAATACAGGCCATCTGAACTACAGTTTCCCTTCTGGATTTCACCTCACGAGTTCATGCTTTTTAATTGAGAGGCAATTTTTTCCCACTGTTCTAGCAATGCTGTGTACCATGTTTATTCTACCCATAACAAATTCAGAATCAAAACCACAGGCTCACTGAATCGAAACACTTCATTTTACAAGCTCGAAAACGGAGGCCTAGAGAGGAGGGATGAGTGGCCAGATGTCTCTCCGCTCGTCAGGCTCCTTACTTAGCAGACCGTGGGAGCTGGTGAAAATCGGAAGCTAGCAAAATCATTGTCGGAGAAGTGCCACGGGAAGGTGCTTCTACGACTCCTCCGCTTACGGAATTTCAAACATCCGGGCCAAGAACCCAAGCTTCTCCAGCAGGTTTCTGACAGTGTGGGGCTATCAGGCCAGTTTGCTGGGGATTTTTCTTCTTTTGGGCGGGACAAGTTAAAGAGCTCAGGATCACTCTGTGCAGAGCAGGATCTGGCGCTTCCTACGCTGTTTGTCCAGCTCAGACTTGTCCACCAGAGCCAAACCAGCCGGCTGGGCTGGCTCCTGGGAGAGAAACTTCCTCGGGGCACTGGGGTGGGAGGCTACAGGCTGCAGCCCTGCTTAGCACCCTTCTCAACAACTGCTCTCATTATGGAGAGCGAGTAGAGCCCGTGCACTCCTGGAGGTGAAGTCCCAGCAGAGGCCTGGCTGGCTATGCTCTGGGCGCTGCTCATTCATGAGGGCTGCTCCGCCCTGCGGGCACCGCGATTCCCAAGGAGGGGCTGTAGGTACTGGAGGGGTCCTCAGACGTCAAACTGGACAAACAGACACTTCTCCCTGTGACGAGGTCCAGCACAAGAGGCCATAATGTGGTTACTACTATTTATACAACACACCTAATCAGCATTATTTCCTGTTACTGAACACAAAATTTTCCATAAATATTCAACTGTTTTGCTGTTAACTTCAATTCTACCCCTAAGGTCGTCATTGCAACGCTTTTCTGCTGGCTTTCTCCACCACGGACTTGCTGTGGAACACTGAGCAAGTTAAGTCAACTCCCTGAATCTAAGCTTCCTTATCTGCAAAATGGGAATAATTGTCCTATTTCCCTAATAGCATCATTGTGTAGAATAAATGAGATCAAGTTCCCTGCCTGGTATGGGGTCTCGCACGTAAAAAGGCTTTAATAAATGTCAGCTATTTTTGCTCTAGTTGATATAAAACTTATTCAGATATTGACCCAGCTGGCTCTGTTTCAGATTGGTATGTTCGACAATCAAAAAGTAACTTCAAAATAACTCAAAGTTGGCTGAGCATGGTGGCTTATGCCTGTAGTCCCAGCTACTTGGGAGGCTGAAGTGGGAGGTCCTCTTGGGAGTTTGAGACCAACCTGGGTGGCATAGCAAGGACCTTGTCTCAAAAACTAAAATTACAATAAATAAATACAATTTATTTTTTGGAATACTTGTCATTCTCCAACACTGTGAAGGGGAGTTCTGTTCCTTAGAGGACACAGCAGTTCCCTGTCCATGCAACACCTTAAATTCTAGGCTGTTCTCCCTGCCATTGCTCACACTTCTCACTGCCTCTACCTGACATTTGTTGGCATGGAATCAGGGATTTTAAACAGACGTTGGCATAAAAGAACACAAAGTATGATTAGAAAAGGTTCTCTGGGGCCAGGCTCCGTAGCTCACACCTGTAATCCCAGCACTTTGGGAGGCCGAGGCAGGCGGATCACCTATCAGGAGTTTGAAACCAGTCTGGCCAACATGGCGAAACCCCATCCCTACTGAAAATACAAAAATTAGCCAGCATGGTGGTACACACATGTAATCCTAGCTACTTAAAAGGCTGAGACTGAACCCAGGAAGCAGAGGTTGCAGTGAGCTGAGATCGCACCATTGCACTCCAGCCTGGGCAACAGGGAGACACTCCTATTTCTAAAAAAGAAAAAAAAAAAAAAAAAAACAGAGATAAAAATGCTCTCTGAAGGAGAGAATACTTTCGAATTATGGTTTGGGGTCCTTTCTACCATTGGCTCAGTGAATCCAACCGCCTTGGTGGCAGTGGCTGTGTCAGTAACTCTTCCTCTCTGAACCTGTCTTTAGGCCACCATGCTGATGACAAAGCAGGCTTTCAGAGACAGGGAAGAATCCAAAGACAGAGAGAATCCACTAACTGAGTGACAACTCCCAAATCCTCAAGTGTTGACAGTTATTTTCAATGTCCTGGCTTTTCTAGATCAGGAATGGCCCAAGGCCACCCCCAGCCTACAACCTGGCCACTAGGGATGGTTGGCGATGGCAGGTCAAGTGAGAAATCCTGGACATTTGACCCAGTGGTTAGTAAGGCAATAAATCAGTTAAGATCCTGCAAGGCACGATGCTATTAGGTTGATGCAAAAGTAGTTGTGGTTTTTGCCATTTTGCACCAACCTGATATAATCAACAAATGTTTGCTGAATCCATGCTGACTGAACTCACCACACCTAATAAATCACAAATCCCATCAACTCTACCTCCTAACTCTCTCTCAAAGAGGATGTGACTGCTCCATATCCTCATTGCTTTGATCTGCATATATGGCACCAAGATACCGCATTTGAATTAAGATGCCTCCTAATGGCCTCCTACCTGGTTTTCTAGCAGTGGTTTACGTGGCCTTTGATGATCTCTGCTAAGGTTTATCTTGCCAGTCTCCCCTCTAGACTCTCCCCATCCCTGATCTAAGACACACTAGAAATGCTGTTCCCTCTGCTCAGATGACTTTCCTCACCTAACTCCTACTCATCCTTCAGGTCTCTCTTTAGTACTCTCTCCCCCCCACCTCTGTCTCTCTTTCTCTCCGTCCTCCCCCATTCCCTCCCCTATCCCTTCCTCTCTCTCTCTTTCCTTCCTTCTTTCTTTCTTTCTCTCTCTCCCTCCCTTCCTTTCTCTCTCTCCCTCCCCCCTCTCTTTCTCTCGCTGTCCCTCCCTCCCTCCCTCCCTCCCTTCCTTTCTCTCTCTCTTTCTTTTTTTCTTTCTTCTTTCTTTTCCTTCCTTCGTCCATTTTTTCTGAGACAAGGTCATGTTCTGTAGCCTAGGCTGGAGTACAGCAGCACGATCTCGGCTCACTGGAACCTCCACCTCCTGGGCTGAGGCAATCCTTTCACCTCAGCCTCCCAAGTAGCTAGGACTACAGGCACTCACCAACACACCTGGCTAACTTTTTTTTTTAGGAGAGACTAGGTTTCACATGTTGCCAAGGCTAGTCCTGAACGCCTGGGTTCAAGCGATGCCTGCCTTGGCCTCCTAAAATGTTGGGATTACAGGTGTGAGCCAACATCACTTTCTACAGAATGTCTACACTCTACCAAAACTGGTATGTGACACTGTACCCTTCAACCCAGTGTCTAAGCAGCAGGATACCAGGCATGGCTTCCACCCGGTCACCGTGGCACACCGTGCGTAAGACAGTACCTGATCCATCATAGCTCTTCCACATGTGTTTTCTCATTTAATTGGTATAACCATCCTAGAATATCAGCATGGCGGTGCCCACTTGACAAATGAAGAAACAAGTTTAAAGACATGAAGTAACTCCCTCAAGGTCATCCAGGTAGTAGAGGGCAGAGCCCACATTTTAATCCGGGCCTCTGGGCTGCTGAAGCCTGTGCTTTTAACTTCTACAGGATGCTGCCCCAAGAATACTCAGTTCCCTTCATAATTAAATGGAGGTCAAACAGTTCATTAATGAGGGCCTGAGTCACCAATGAAAGAGATCAAAAGATCTGGCTCCCCTGAAATTCAGATCCAAGCAGTTGTCTGACCACTCTATCAGTATTTTTGCTTTTGGTTTAGACGCTAGCAGTTAGGTTTCGTGAGAGAACAGGGTCTAGGGGACACAGTCCTCCAGATGCAGGAACGTAAGGAGTAGCTTAGATAGAATGCCATCCTGAGTGCAGGAGGTAGAGCTTGGGGGAGGTAACCAAGAGAAGCACCCCAGGCAGTGTGTCAGGGAACAAGAGAATGCAATACCCCACCTTCCCAGGGACCTCAGAGGACAGAAACTAAACTTGATGCCAAATAAGGACTGTCCTGGGCCCAGTGATGGTTAATGGCATAGCAGAGGGGGCTTGAATTTGGGGTGCTTTAGCCAGCCTAGAAAGGGCACAGAACGAGTGCAACAAAATACCGTCTAGTGTCTCACTCACGTATTCCTGAGAGAAATTCAGATTAAATGTTTGAGTTAGAGCAGAGAAGGTCACGAGGACATCAGATGACCCTGTCCTGCCCCAGAAGAGAATGAGAGTACATATCATTTGTCCAAGGGCTTTGGTGAGGAATGAGTATGAAGAGGTCTTCCATTCTCTCCGTTTCTCAAACCGGCCATGCCTATCCACACCCTCTTCTTGGACACCTCTCACCGTACCTCAAAAAAGGAAGGAAATAAAGAACTTTCTGCTCACGGGTGGGCAAAAGGAAGCCAGATCTGTCAAAATCAAGGGAAAGAAGACTAATGTGAAGTTTAAAGTTTAATACAGCAGATAACTCACTTATCACAAAGACAAGGCAGAGAAAATGAAGGAGTCTCTGCCTCTGGGACTTTGGCAGTAAGGTACTGAAATGAACGAGACACACTGATTTGAACTGTACTAACATTTTTTTTAATTAAAAAGAAAAAAGTATAAATAGAAGCAGAAAATTAACACTAAGCATGGCTGGGTGTGGTGGCTCACGCCTGTAATCCCAGCACTTTGTGAGGCCAAGGTAGGTGGATCACTTGAGGTCAGGAGTTTGAGACCAGCCTGACCAACATGGTAAAACCCTGTCTCTATTAAAAATACAAAAATTAGCAGGGTGTGGTGGCACATGCCTGTAATCCCAGCTACTCAGGAGGCTGAGGCATGAGAATCACTTGGACCTAGGAGGCAGAGGTTGCAGTGAGCCGAGATCACACTACTGCACTTCAGTCTGGGCAACAGAGCAAGACTGTTTCAAAAGGAAAAAAACAAAACAAACTCTAAGCATAACAGGAATCACATGTGTTGTTTTGGGTCCTCCCTATCCTGCCTTATCTTTGCCCCACAACCATTGCCTCCCAGATCTTTGGTTCCTGCTGAAGATGATATTCAAGGCCCTGGGGAAATAAATAAAGTTAGAAACTTACAGAAGGTAGCAAGCTTTATTGAACGAATGATATGAAAAAGGAACATCTTCCTTAAACTAGCCATCATAAGTCTTTTCTACACAAAGGAAGGTAGGTAAAAAATAATGAAATAAAAATTAGTATTGAAATTAAAAAGGGAAAGGTAATGATGGTGTTTATAAAAATTATTTGAATATAGAAATATAGAACTTAAACCTACTGAGTCATGGGTAGCACCCATTGGGTCAGCTAAAGAAAAAAGCATGTCAGAAGGAGAAACTTTGCTTATGGAAAGAACAAATGACGATATTCAGAAATCGGTTTGGTCTTTAAGAGTGAGCATTATGTAAGAATGCAAAGGATCCCACATGGAAATCATTGCTCCTGTTTATGGAAGCAATGTGTTTAAACTTGAATGTCAGAAGCCTACATGAATCAACAGTGGCTGAGTGAAGCAACTGAAATGCATCCAACTTCCTACCTGTAAAAGGTAATAATGTTTCGTAATTATGTATAATAACTTTGATGGCATGGGAACACAGCAAGCCTGACAAAACTGTGTAAAATGGAAGTGACTTTTTGAAAGTGGCTTCCCTGAAATTCAAATTCAAGCAAGCGTCTGACCACCTTCCCAAGAGGTAGGGGCTCCTTGAGCGATTGCTGTTCGGACCACACTGTATTAGCCTTGTTTAGTTCTTTAAGTA